CTTAGTATAATGCTCTAAAGATATAACCATGGGGTCAAGTTCACAAAAACCCTTCTGATACCAGGGTCCATACTTTAAATGCTATGTTTTCTTCTATGTATTTTAATGTTTCATGTCTTACATTCAAGTCTTTCATCAATTTTGAGTTCATTTGTGTGTGTGTGTCAGAGAGCAGTATAGTTCCATTCTTCTGTGTGTGACTTCACAGTTTCCTCAATGCCATTTACTGAAGAAACTTTATCTTCTCCTCTTGTGTTTCTAAATTTTTTTGAAAATTAGTTGCCCAGTTGTATGTTGGCTTAGTTCCATGCTCCTGATTCTGTTCCATTAGTCTGTGTGCCTGTTTTTTTGCCAATACCATACTGTTTGGATTCCTGTAGTATAGTCAGAAGAAAGAGATTCTGTTCTTTTTTTTCTCAGATTACTTTGGCTATTTGGAGTCTTTGTTGTTTCATGCAAATTTGAGGAATTTTTGGTTCTATTTTTTTGAAAAATGCCATTGGAATTTTGATGGCAATTCCATTAAATTTGTATATTGCTTTAATATGACATTTTAAATATATTAATCCTAATCTATGAACATGCAATATGTTTCCATTTTTTGTCTGCCTTATTTTCTTTTAACCATTGTCTTGTAGTTCCCAGTGTATGCATACATCACTGTCTTGTTAAATTTATTCCTAGGTACTTTATCCTTTTTGTTGCAATTGTAAATGGGATTCTTTTCTTTATTTCTTTCTGATATTTTATTGTTAATATATAGGAATGCAAGGAATATTTTATGTTGACTTTGTATCCTGCAACTTTACTGTATTTGTTTTATTGTTTCTCAAAGTCTTTTGGGTTTACAATATATAGAAACATGTCATCTGCAAATAGTACAGTTTTATTTACTTATTCCAATATTGAATGTCTTTAATTTATTTTTCTTGCTTGATTCATCTTTTTAAGACTTCTAGAACTATGTTGAATAACTGTGGTGACATTGAGCATCCTTATCTTGTTCCTGATCTTAGAAGAGAAGCTGTCAGGTTTTCACTTTGAATATGATATTAGCTGAGGTTCGGTATATATAGCCTCTACTATTTTGAGGATCTTTCCTTCTGTGCTCATTTTATTGAATGTTTTAATCATAAATGGATGCTGTACCTTGTCAATTGATTTTACTGCATCTATTAGCATAATCATATGATGTTTATTTTTATTTTGTTAAAAGGTGTATTACACAGATTGATTTGCATTTGTTAAATCATTCTTTCATTCCTGGAATAATCTCCACTTGATCATGATGTGTGATACTTTTAATGCATTTTTGTATTTTATTTGCTATTATCTTGTTTAGGATTTTTAATCTATGTTCATCATTCAGAAATGTTGCCCCATAAGTTGATTTGTGTGTGTGTGTGTTGTCCTTGCCTGGTTTTGGTACCAGGATAATGTTGGCCTCGTAAAATTATTTAGGACGTGTTACCTCCTCTTCAATTTCTTGGGAGAGTGTAGGAAAGATTGGTATTAAATCTTCTGTAAATATTTGACAGAATTCACCAGTGAAGCCATCTGCTCCTGGCTTTTTTGAGGGAAGATATTTAATTACTGCTTCTTTTTCTTCCTAGTGTAGAAATATTTAGGCCTCCTAATTCTTCATGTTCAATCTAGGAAGGCTGTATACTTCTAAGAATTTTCCATTTCTTCTAAGTTATCAAATGTTGTGGCATATAGCCTTTCATAGTATTCTTGCATAGTCCTTTGTATTTCTGTGGTGTCCATTGTGATTTCTCTTTTCTCATTTCTAATTTTATTCATTTGAGACTTCTCTATTTTTTTTCCTTAGTAAGACTAGCCAGAGATTTTTTAATTGTACTTATCTTTTTATTTCTGTTGTAATTTTTATTATTTCCTTCCTTCTATTAACGTGGGGCTTTGTTTGTTCTTTTTCCAAATCTTTAAGATGAAATATTAGATTTTTTTATTTGAAATTTTTCATGTTTCTTGAGGTAGTCTTATGGTGCTCTTAGTATCATTTTTGTTGCATTCCAAAGTTTTGTCATATTGCCATTTTTATTTGTCTCTATGTATCTTTTGATCTTTTATTTCTTCTTTGATGTAATAATTGTTCAATAACATGTT